GGGAAAAATGAGGAGCTGATGCGAGGGGCTTAGGTAGAGAGCAAATGTTTTGAGAATGATGTGGGCAATTAATGTACAAATGTGCTTTCATCAATTGATGCATGTATGGATTGTGATAAGAGCTGCATGAACCCCTAATAAAACAATTTTTTAAGTTCCATACACCAAGCATATTTGTGCATATGTTTTCATTATCATTTCTGAAACATTTTATTTTTAAAAATTTAATTATTTTATTGGGGCTGTGGTAGTTACATAATGTGATGTCAATTTGGGACTTGAGCGGATTAAAAGTGAAGGGGTGGAGCCTGTTAATCAGATCATAGTCAATGAGGCCTCTGTGTGGGCATGGCCTTCTCCTGAGAATTCTGGCAACTGCTGTATTTCCTCCTTGGAGGTGGGAGATAGTTTCTCTTCTCACTCCCTGGGAGAAATTGCAGCTGACAAGACACATGGTACTATGCTAATCCCTTGAGCTAGCAAAGCTACATGGACCTACCCTGATGCAACCAGATCTCTGAAGCCGTGTAGAGACCCTTGCCAGCACTGAGATGCTTACAACACCACTAGATCCAAAGACTTTCTACCCACTGGCCTGTGATTGTCCTGCACACGGCAGCATTGCATGTGTTTCATGAGTCTGAAAAGGACTTTATAGACTGGTATCTGACATATGGGATAATATCGGACTTAAGGGCTTGGATTGGACTGGATTGGGATGCTTTCTTAATGACCAATTACCCTTTATATAAAACTCTCTCATACATATATGTGTGTCCATTGATTTGTTTCTCTAGTCTACCCAGACTAACACGGGCTCTTACAGGTCTTATCACAATCCATACATTCATCCATTGTGTCAAGCACATTTATACATGTGTTGCCATCAGTATTTTCAAAGCATTTTCTTTCTACTTGAGTCCTTGGTATCAGCTCATCACACACACACCCCACCTCCCTCGTGAACCCATGATAATTTATAAAAAAAAAATTGTTCATGTCTTATACCAACCACTCTCTTTCTTCACCCACTTTTCTATTGTCTGTCTCTTTGGAAGGGGGTTATATGTCAATGATGGTAATCAGTTCCCCCTTTTTCCTCCACCTTCCCCTTACTCTCGTAGTATTACTACTCTTATTGGTCCTGAATGGTTTATCTGTCCTGAATTCCCTGTGTTGCAATATCTTATCTGTACCAGTGTACATGCTCTGGTTTAGCTGGATTTGTAAGGTAGAATTGGGTTCATGATAGTTGGGGGGCAGGGGGGAGCAAAAAATAACCAGAGGAAAACTGTATGTTTCATTGGCGCCCAAAATGTTTTCTACTTGAGACGTTGGTATATAATTTTGCAGAACCTATATTTTTTAAAGAAACACTCAAGTTGGACTTGATTTGATTCCCCAGCTACCCCAGGGTGAAGAATGAGCTCTCTCTCACATCCATCCAAGTCAATGCTGACTGATAGTGACCCTATTGCACAAGGTAGAATGCCCTTATGTGTTTCTGAGACTGTAACTCTTTATGGGAGTGGAAAGCCCTGTCTTTCTCCTGAAGAGTGGCTGGTGGTTTTGAACTGCTGACCATGCAGTTACCAGCCTAATGCATACCCACTATACCACCAGAGCTCCTGAGGAATGAGCATGATAAATAAAACCACCCATACTTGTTTTAAGTTACCAGTTCAAATGTCCCTTCTATGATTTTCTCCACAATTCAAATCTTAAGCATATAAAATTATTTGACTAGCACCAAAAGGAAATTGTCAAAGGACAAATTATAAGGAATTGAAACAGATAACAGAGAGACCATAGTCGTTTTTAATAAACTTGCCTTCCCTTCCACAAACTCATCTTGGAAAGTGTTTGGTGAGTGGCTGAGGAAAAGGGTAATCATAAATCTCGATCTCTACCATTTGCCTGGTGCCTTTCAGATGTCCCCTAGAGAAAGGATTGTTTTTCATTTGTTCATCCATTTGACAAATACATATTGGATCAACTATTCTAGAAGCTGATAACCAGCAGCGCAGGAAAGTAAAGTTCTTGTTCTCAAATGCTTACATTCTAGTCAGAGAGACTGACAATAAATAAGCCAGTGAGTAGACGAACAAAATCCTGTCAGGTGATGTTAGTCCGTATGGAGGTAATAGAGGAAGGGAATGTGGTGTAGACTGTGCAGCTGGCTGAGACAGCAGCAGACTTTGGGATGAATTTCTGCTGCATGGGCCCCTCTCTGCCTTCGGACTTAACCCCAAACCTAGATTTGTTTTTTGTTTGGCCCTTTGGAATGTTGCTAATTGCCTCTTCATGGGAACTCTCTGCGATTCCTTTGCCCAATCTGCTTCTGCTTCACAGACCACAAGGAAAACTCTTATTTGTAACCAAGCATATCCTGAACTCCACTGGTGCCAAATTCCATTGCTCACATGCTTGACCTTGTTATGTTACCCCATCGAGCTATTGACTTATTCTTTACACACCTAACTGAACCTGAGGTTGGTCTGCCAAGTGCCTCTGGCAGCATGCCAGGCTGTGACCCAGACCAGCTAGGAGAATAGGATGAAGCATTGACATCTCTGCTGTGTTCAACAGAATTGTGTGTGCTCCTGCCCCTCCATCTGCCTTACCCAAGGGAGGAGGGTTAGAGTACATTGGGACAAAGCAGCAAAATGGGCCCCCAGAGAATAAATGCAATTAACATTTGCCTTACCCTGAACAGCTAAGGCAATTCTGATCCAAAATTGTTCACACTTTGATTAGACAACTCTTTTTGGAGAAGTTATATTTGAAAACATAGGCTTGAGCATCACATAAACCTGGCCCTTCCCCTAACCATCTGTGTGACCTCGGGGAAATTATTTAATTTCTTTAAAGCTCAGATTTCCACCTGTACCATAGGGATAATATATTTCTCTAACTGAAACAATGGTTGGAGACTGGAATAAAGACTACACCCAAAACACTGAACACAGTGTATGCATACCAGGTTTCTGTAGACCTCTTATTATCATACCCAGCGATGGGAAGGTATTTATCCTAAGCTGGTCAGTGGGAGAGTCTAAAAGACAACACTCAGCTTTTGGGTCTACATATTCAGCAACCATCCTGGAACTCATCAAGAAAATTGGACAAATCCCCAGCCTGCTGCTCCTGCCTCCATCAGCATAGGCTGACTAAAGTAATCAGAAGTTTGCAGAGCCAAATTCTATCAACCCAGTATGTGACTTAAGTCAGATGACAATGATTCTCTATACTTCATGTATAAATGGCTAGGAAAAAGTAAAGTAATATAAATAAATAAATTTTTAAAATCACTAGGGATTACAGTGACAGCTTCTAACTGTAAAGTCTAGTTATATATGTTCCCTAAATTCAATTCAACAAACCACAAAAATCCCTCTGACTCTACCTTTATCCAGGTGTTCATGGAGCCACAGGCCCAAGGCCAACCACAAAGTTAATTGAATTCCCTTCATGATAAGTGTATTAAATTTTTTATTGTTACCAGAGTTTCTATCTGGCTTTCTAAGACACTGCAACCCAACTTCCTCGGGCTGTTGCATGTGGGCTATTTGACCGACTGATTCATTTATGGTCTTTCAGTATTTGTATATACATCTCTCTTATCTGTTTTGAAGTCAGGATATTTCCAGATAACCTCAATCCTAGAAGGTATCTTAAAGGGTGAGTCACAGAATAAGTGATGATAATGGAAGTAGTGTGATGGCAGTAGCTCACAGTTAGTGGTGATTTCTCTGTGCTAGGAAAAGATGGTGTTTTCTGTCTGTAAGGAATTACAGTCCCGGAAGCCCCCCCGTCTCTGCAGTCCTGCCTGTCCTCTCCTGGCACTGAGTCAGAATGGACCCAATGGCAGTGATGGTAGGGTTCTCGTTAGCTTTTTAGGTCTAGCATTACTTCCTTGACTCCTCACCACATGTCTAATGATAATCCATTGTTGAAATCCCCATTTAAAACATTCAAACTAACTTCTGAAACCAAACTCACTGCATGGAGTCAATGCCAAGTCACAATAACCCTGTAGGACAGGGCAGACCTGGTCCTGTGAGTTTCCAAGACTGTAGTTGTTTAGGGGAGTCGAACACCTTATCTTAGTTGTTTCAAACTGCTGACCTTCTGGTTAACAACTTACTCAAGATCAAATAGCTATCAACTGGCATAGCTGTAGCTCAGACTCAACCTATTATGTTTGAATCCAGACCCTCTTAATCAACTCTTTACATTTCTGGAACAATGTCAGAGAATTTGATTAGACTAATCTCATTTTTCAAGAAATGACAATAAAGCCCAGAAAGGGAAAGACATTTCATTCACTCATTCATCAGATGCTTATTGAGCACCTATTGTATGCTAGGCACTAAACATATGCCAGGGATGCTTTAGTAAGAAAAATGCAGTGCCTGCCCTAAATGCATCTGCATACTATCCAAGATCACCTAAAGAGTTCATGGCAAAGCCAGGACAACCACTCAGACTTCCCAGTATTCTTGCACCTCACTAAGCAGTTAGATCAAAAGAGACACAAGTTGTGCTGAGGAAGAGACAATGTAGATAAACCTACCTAACTTTATAACTTCACCAAAGGCCACCTTATCTTAGACATGGCAACAGAGTATCTAGATTAAGCATTGCTTCTCAGGGTTGGCTTGATTTGGTTTGTTTGTTTGTTGGACTTCAAGGATACAGAATTAATCGTAAGTTTTGATCTTCTCATTGGACCTTCAATAATAAACTGCAATTGTGCATTTGATTAGTTGTTTTTTTAACAATATATTCAGTAGCTACAAGCTCGCCTTAAAACAAAATCTACATATTTAACAGTACTGCCATTTTTTTGCAACATCTACTGCAAGAATAAGACCATCCTCAGCAGCCAGAGTGTCAGCATTCTAAAGAATGTTAACATTTCTGGGGGAGAGGGGTGCAGTGATGATTGGGAAGCGCCCCAGAGGAATCCTGCAGTGGACTGACTTCAAGCACATCAATGTAGAACTCATTCTCATTGCAAAGAAAACGAAGAGGCTTCACAATGACAAATGGTGGGAAAATAGAGAGGCGCTGGCTACAGTCCACACTCTCCATAGTCATGAACAGAACATGATCAATGGTGTTACGCTGGGCTCCAATACAAGTCGAGGTCTGTGTATGCCCATCAATGTTGTTATTGCATCTCTTATTAAGATCTATAACTTCTTGGGTGGAAAATGCAACAGGAGGATTCAGATGAGAACAGGGGTTGTGTGTTCCATTTCTCAAGCCCAGAAAGATGAGTTAATTCTTGAAAGAAACAACACTGAGCTTGTATCAAATTCAGCTGCTTTAATTCCGCAACCCATGACAGTTAAAAACAGGGCTATCCAAGAATCTTTTGGACGTTATCTAGATTTCTGAAAAAGGAACAGTTCAACAGTCTGATGTGTAAGCTCTCAGAAGTGTTCAGCTTCAGGCTAGATGATTCCTTAGACCTACCTGTGATGTTTTGATGCAATAAAATTTTTCTAATGGAAAATAAATAAATAATATACCTAACCATAAGAACCCCTTCCCATCACCCTACCTGCCACCATATGAGATAAGTATCATCATAAATCCTGTTTTCCAATGCCCTTACTTACAATTTTAATGGTTCTATTACATCTATATAAATTATTTAAATGTATTTTATTGTTCCTATTTTCATTTTATGAAATAGTGATCAAACTAAGTGAAAATTTGGGTGCTTGTTTTTCCCCTTTATATTAAATTGCTAAAATTCATCCATATCACTGTCTCCATACTTCACTGCCATTCTACTGTGTAAGATTCAATTGTGCAAATATTCCAGTTTATTCATCCTCTCTCCCTTAGATGGACATTTGGATCATTTCCAGGATTTTACCATTGTGAACAGTGCTGCTATGAACACTGTTTTGCATATCTCTCAGCTCTTCTTCTAAAGAGGTGCCCAGGCTATTGTCAGTCTTTTTGCTTTCATAAAAATTTTAGGATTATCTTAATCAACTTCTTTAAGGCAAAAAAAAAAAAAAGCATGTTGAACTGGAAATTCATTGAACCTACTGAATAAGCTTAAGAGATTTGACTCTGTGATATCAAGACTTCCTATCCATGAATGTGGTGCATATCTCCGTTTGTTAAGGATTTCTTATATGTGACATTAATAAGTTTCATATTTCCTTTATGAAAGCCTTATATATATATTGTAAGATTGCTTCTGAAACTTTGCTGTTATCTAATGCCATTATAAATTTGTTTCTTATCATATTTCATACTCTGCTACTCTTTTTTTTAATCTAAATTTATGTCAATCATCAAGCGATATTTTTTAACACAAAGCCTACCTGACAATTCCTATCACTAAGTAAGAGTTTTTCATTTTCACTAATAGGTTGCAAAGTGGAGAGCTAAGAATTTTTTCAGAAGATCGGTTTCACCTTTTATAATTCAGGCTATAATACTGGTCTACCAATCCTAACTAACACTTTGTTTGCATACTCTTGGATTAAACTATTGCATTCTCTGGGCTTAATATTGCTTATAGTAGCTTGTCTCTAATCACTGCCATCAATTTCCTCTTTTCCTGCACACACAAGTCATGGGGGAAATCCACTCCTCCACTCTTTTCACCCTCATCCCATGCTTACCATCTTTCTATACTGAACTTTCTTTGGGTCTGTGTCAGATTTATCACTTTATTCAAAACTCACCTTTAAAACTCTGTTAATATCATTATTTATTTAACATCCCTATGCATTATTTTATAACTAAATTAATTTGGTCATATCCAAGCAATAAAATATACACTATCATAGATTTAATGTGTTTATAATTTTTCTTATTAATGTACTCCAAAATATATATGCAATTATTAGAATAATATGCAATTTAAATTCACATTTGTTGAAACATTTTGCTACATGAGCTTTTCAACTCTTAAATGAGTGTATTGCCAAATAGTCTTCAAAAGATGTCAGCTTATTCAAATTACATTTATTACCGAGATCTGAGTCAGCTTTTCTCATTTGTTTTAATATTTTGAACCTCCTCTTTTTCTCATCTCCCAGAGTCCTGTTGCTCTCTATAGAGACAAATATCTTCAGCTGAAATACTCATATCTCTTAATAATAAAAATAATAGCAGCACTCTAAACATTCACTATGTCCTAGGCCTCATAGAGAGAAGTGCTGGTGGCATAGTGGTTACACATTGGGTTGCTAAGTGCAAGGTCAGCAGTTTGAACACAGCAACCACTCTGAAGCAGAAAGACGGACTTTCTGTGTCCATAAAGACGTACCGTCTCAGAAACGCACAGGACCAATTCGACCCTGTCCTATAGAGTTGCTATGAGTTAAAATCAACTCGATGGCAGTTGGTTCAGAATTTTTTTATATGTAACCTAGACACTAATATTCCTTTTTAAGCACAATAAAGAAAACATATATTTCATACTACCCTCCTGTGTTTTTCAGTTACCATGCCTTTCCTTTTAGCTCTTGGTTACAGATTACAAAGAATGAGTCTTCATTACTTAATGCTATAAATGAGATGCCTGTGAAAAGTCCCTATTTCAGAAAAATGTCAACCACATCTTGCCAAAAGCTAGCCACGTGGCAGCCTTATAATAAGAAAAGGAAAAAGTCCTCGGCTTAGCCTTTCCAGAATAAAATTAATTATGAAAGTTCAACTCTTTCTAAATCTCTGGGTGCTTGTGCCCTTCCCTTGAGAGTTAGTTATAAATTATTTTGCACTTTCTGTGCCGGGTAATGTAGGCAAAAATTCACAGCATGGAGAGGGTGGGGTGAAACACTGAAATATGACTTAACATTCCCACTCTAGTTTCTCAGGGCCTTTTCAGTGCTTCTGGTCTGGGCTCTTCTTGGCCCAAGAATCACTGTGATTCTGTGTCCATCATTTCCTAGCTGTGACCAAATACATGAGCTTAACTTTATTATTTTGGTATGCCTGTACTGCTGAAAGATGGTGGCAATTTCCAATGTAAGCATCTTTCTAATCAAATAGGTCTAAAATCTGAAAATCAAAAAGAAAAGATTTCTACACCCTTTACTGCTTCTATGCTATTAAACATTGTCTTCCTCATTCCAGCAAGAAGACTTCAGTTGGATTGTTTAATTCAAATGATATTTATTAGTTCCTTCTGTGTGTAGACGTTTGAGTTAGTTAATTGTGCCAGCCTGGCCGATAATCACATGTGGAGCTGGTTGAAAGGCGGAAGGATAAATGGGTGGTGAAGCCTCGCCTTTCTAGTTCTCGGGTCTCTTGTTTTGTGATGGTTGCATTGGGTGCAGCTGCCTTAGCAGTTCCCTGCTTCAGCTTGCAAGATTGACTTCCTACAAGACATCCCCAAGGAGAAGCCG